TGTCCCTGGCTTGTGGTTACCCACCTGTCCTTGTTTGGGACACTTCTAAGATGTCTTCTGCCTCACCACACCCAGTTGACATGTCCTATGGCTGAGAGAGAAAGAGAGAGAATCTTCCATCTGTGTGCTGGGTTACTTCCCAAATGCCTGCCACAGCCAGGGCAGGTCTGGGCTGAAGCCAGGAACCGGGAGCTCCATCTGGGTCTCCAAGTACTTCTAGCACAAGGGATCCTGGACTACCCCCCCCCCCCAGGGTTCATGTTTGCAGGAGCCAGATGGGGGGTTTGAACCAAGGAAGGAATCCCAATTGGCATTCAAACATATAGATGTTTAATTTATTTGAAAGAGTTAGGGTGAGACACACAGAGAGATTTTCCATCCACTCCCTAAATGGTTGCACTGGGGTATGGGACGGCAGCATTGCAAGCAGCTTGCGTACCCCTAGCTTGTTGCCATGACTTTCAGGTGGGGAAGCTGAGGCACGCAGAGAGGACGTGGCGAGGTGGCCGGCAGGTGGGCAGGGCTGGCGGGAAGGGGTCCATCAACACCTGTCAGATGTCTTTAACTAGGTAGGGTGGTAGCGGCTTGCACCCCGCGGGCACCTGGACCCGAAGCCTGTCAGGGCAGGACCCCCTCGTCGGGGAGGGAAGCCGCCGCCGTAAGAGCGGAAAGAATGCGGAGAGGAACGTGTGGGCCCCAGCACGGGTCACTGGGGAGCACCTCAAGAATGCGATGGCTGCGGCGCTTGGCGCAGCTTGCTGGGGGCTGTTCTGGCTGAGCCAGAGGCAGCGAGGGGCCCCCCGAAGGGTCTCGCTACTTCCTTCCCTACCGCCCCTGCGGCCCTCTTGCTGTTGCCTTTGTGAGAAGAAAAAAACAAAAACAAAAAAACCAAAAAAAAAAACAAACAAAAAAAACCTTTCTGGAAAGTTCTTAGGTTCCCCTGGCTCACCCAGGGAGGTGAGGAGAACCAGGCTGCCACTCACCCAGCCCATCAGTTTGGGTTTGAGTGCTGTGGACACAGCGTGACTAGCAAGCCTGAGCAAGGACAAAGCAAAAAGAAGCAAACACTCTGCTTGGAAAAAAAAAAAGTATTTATTTTTGTTGGAAAGTCAGATATACAGAGAGGAGGGGAGACAGAGAGGAAGATCTTCCATCTAATGATTCACTCCCCAAATGAGTGCAAGGACCCGGGTTGTGCCAATCTGAAGCCAGGAGCTGCTTCTTCCGGGTCTTCCAAGCAGGTGCAGGGTCCCAAAGCTTTGGGCCGTCCTCCACTGCTTTCCCAGGCCACAAGCAGGGAGCTGGATGGGAAGCGGGGCTGCCGGGATTAGAACCGGCGCCCCTATGGGATCCCGGGTGCGTTCAAAGCGAGGACTTTAACCGCTACGCTATCGCGCTGGTCCATGATCTAGTTTACTATTGACACACCTAGGGAAAGGAGCAGAAGGAGATGGGCTAACAAGGATTCAGGTCGTGACAGCCTTGTGGGTGACGTGGAAGGAGCTCCAGGTTCCTGGCTTTGGGCTGGTCCGGCTCTGTCTGTTGTCACCATTTAGTGAGTGAACCAGAGGTTGAAAAATTCTCTCTCTGTAATCCTTTTTTGTTTTTAGATGCTGTTGACATAGTCAATCAGGGTGGGCAGGATCTAGGGTTAAAGAGAAGTGGGTGTGATCCTTGCTTCCAAGCTTCCTATTTCTTCTTCCCATCTCGGGGGTGAGGGGAGAGATAAGGGGGGAAGCCGCAGCCAGTCTCCCCACCATCCCAGTACCAGGGGGTGGGGAAAGGCCACCCGCTATCAAGCCACGGTCCCACGCGGCGCGCATGCTCCGAGGGTTCTGCCCAGGGGGATGCGACGGTTCCAAAATGCTGTCAATCTCGCTGATGTGTGGGTGAGGAATCCCTCCCGATGTCCCACTGGCTGACACAGTTAACGTTATAGTCTCCATTCGCTCCCGTATTTGCTATCGTCGTTTGGCTGGGGTAGTTGTCTGTATGTTTTGTTCTCTAGGCTCTGCTATGGTGCCAGATGTCCTCTGCGGGTCCCAGTGTGCGCTACCATGTCCTCCGTGTGCTGGCCGTGGTCTAGCACGCCATCCTTTGCCCTGGGCTCGTCTATAATCCTGACTTTCAAAGTAAATGAATACATCTTTGAAAAAGTAGAAATTTAGTGGCACAGTCTGTGGTGATGTGACATGGTAGGCTGGCTAGGATGGTCCTTTTTTTTTTCTAATTTTTTATTTTTGAAATGTATTGTACAATTCGGTATAGTCTGGGATTCCTTCCCCCCGCCCCTTGTTTTCACCATAAGGGTCCTTTGGCATGGAAGGTTCCCGCATTGTGGCAAAGTAGGTGAAGCCTCTGCCTGCGACGCCGGCATCCCCTATGGACTCCGGTGCCTGTCGTGGCTGCTCCACTTTGCAAACAGCTCCGTGTAATGGCCTGGGAAAGCAACAGTCAAAACTTACATGCATGGACTCCTCCCGTCCACATGGGAGACCCGGAAGGAGCTCCTGGCTCCAGCCTGGGCCCTCCCCCCGCGCCCCAGTGCCCTGGCCGTTACAGCCAACTGGGGTGTGAACCAGTGGATGCAGGATCTCTTTCTGTCACTCCTTGTCTATAACTTTGGTTCTCAAGTAAAGTAGAGGCATTCTTAAAACAAACAAAAAAAAAGTTGATGCAAAAATGAAATTAAAAGAGAAGTTTTTTGACCCGGTGCGGTGACCTAGAGGTTGAAATCCTTGCCTTGAATGCGCTAGGATCCCATATGGGCACTGGTTCTAATTCTGGAAGCTCTATTTCCCATCCAGCTCCCTGCTTGTGGCCTGGGAAAGGAATGGAGGATGGCCCAAAGCCTTGGGACCCTGCACCCGCGTGGGAGACCCAGAAGAAGTTCCTGGTTCTTGGCTTCAGATAGGCACAGCACCAGCCGTTGCGCTCACTTGGGGAGTGAATCATTGGCCGGAAGATCTTCCTCTCTGTCTCTCCTCCTCTCTGTATATATGACTTTGCAATAAAAATTAAAAACCTAAAAAAAAAAATCTTAAAGAGAAGTTTGATTTTGAAATTCATGTATACAAGGGGTCTTGAAAAGTGAAATTTTCTTTTGGAAAAAAAAAATAAAAGCTAAGTATGTACCTCAGGATCATTTGCATAAAGCAAACTTCTCTTTTAAAAAAGATTGGAAAATAGAGAGCTTCCATTTTGTGGTCCTTAAACAGCTGGGACTGGGTGGGTTCGTCCGGAACCAGGGAAGGACTAGGAGCTTCTTCCAGCTCTCCCACGTGGGTGTAGGGTCCAAGCACTTGGGCCGTCCTTTACTGCTTTCCCAGGTGCACAGACTGGGAAGTGGAGCAGCTGGGACTCGAACCGGTGTCCCTGTGGCATGCGGGTGCTGCAAGTGGCAACGGAACCTGCTACAATGCTGGGCTCTTACTTTTTTTTTTCCCCCCACGAATATAATCCTATCTTCTCATTTCATTTTGCCGCTCACTCTTTAGCAGGGGGCTAAGGTCGGAAGTTGAGGGGCGGGGGGCTTTGCTAGCCCGCAGAGAGCCCCCCCCCACGCATACAGGATCGGCATTGCGTGTTCCCGACAACCAGCGGCCACACGATGGCCGCTGATTGTTGGATTGCCCACTGTGGACCACGGCTGCTGCTGCTGTGTGTGGGAAATCTACTGGTTTCCCATTGATTTCATCCTGGTGTCCGGCAGGTGCAAACCTGGTGATGCTTCGGAGGAAGGGGGCCGAATCTTGAATGGCAAGTGTGGTGGTGGAGCCTGGGAAAGGACTCTCTCCTTTTTAACCCCTCACCCTGTCTCTGGTGCCTCGCCACGCCCAGGTCAAAGATTGTCAGGCCTTTCGCTGGCCCTGGTTGTGACATCAATTCCGGAAGATCCGCCCCGCGGGGTGCCTGGGGGGTGGGGTGGGGTGGGTGGGGGCCGTAGGCTTGTCATACCCTTTCCCTCCTGTGCACCTGCCCGCGTGGTATCTGCCAGTCCTACCCTGTCATCCCAAGGGTTCCATTGCTTTCTTTGCCTTTTGAAGGAGTAAGTCAGGTCTGGGCCCCAATAAAAACGAAAAAAGAAATCTTTTTTTGAATTAACCCAATAGGAGTTGATTGTGTTTTTGTGTTCAATTATCTTCATACATTCAAATGTTTTGCACATGTAATTAAAAAAAAAAGATTGATTTTTTTAATGGGAAAGGCAGATTGACAAAGAGGAGAGACAGGGAAAGATCTTCTGTCCACTGGTTTACACCCCAAGGGGCCGCAACGGCTGCAGCCCAAGCGGTCAGAAGCCAAGAGCCAGGAGCTTCTTCCGGGTCTCCCACCGCGGGTGCAGGGTCCCAAGGCTTTGGGCCGTCCTCCACTGCTTTCCCAGGCCACAAGCAGGGAGCTGGATGGGAAGTGGGACATCCGGGATTAGAACCAGTGCCCATATGGGATCCTGGCACATGCAAGGCGAGGCCCCACTAGGCTACAGAGCTGGGTTCTGCACTTGTAATTAAAGAGGCAGAGAAAGAGGAAGGGGGAGGGGATGTTCTCCATCCACTTGTTCCTGCAATGAACAGGGGGTGGACTGAGGCTGAAGCTGGGAGCCGACAACTCCACCCAGTCCCCATCCAGTCATAGGAGCAAAGCCGCCCTCCTGGCTGTCTCCAAGGCGCTGCCATTAGCAGGGAGCGTCCGTCGAGGTGTCTAACCCGGGTCTTTAACCCTTTCCCATGGCGCTGGGAACCTCCCTTGCTATTGGATGGTCAGCGGGACTGGAGGTTTCCGGTGCTAGCGAGGGTGTGGAGAGGGGTTGCTGGCAGCGGCCAGTGCTTGGAGAGATAAACATGCAATCGCGCTTCACGCTATTAGGGGACAAGGCGATGCGTGTGGCCCAGCCGCGTCTGGTTGCCCCCTGTGGATGGCCACCGGTGCCCTGCCCCCCGGGGGAGGGGCTTGGACCACTGGGAAGCAGCGTCTGACTTCTTCCCGTTCTTGTCCCGCAGTGTGCCCCAGCATGGACATCCGGAACAACCTCACCAGGTTGCACGAGCTGGACAATTGCTCCATCATTGAGGGCCACCTGCAGATCCTGCTCATGTTCAAGACGAGGCCCGAAGACTTCCGGGATCTCAGCTTCCCCAAGCTTATCATGATCACCGACTACTTGTTGCTCTTTCGGGTCTACGGGCTGGAGAGCCTCCGAGACCTGTTCCCCAACCTCACGGTCATCCGCGGCTCCCGGCTCTTTTTCAACTACGCGCTGGTCATCTTCGAGATGGTGCATCTCAAAGACGTGGGGCTGCCCAGCCTCATGAATATCACGCGGGGTGCCGTGCGCATCGAGAAAAACAACGAACTCTGCTACCTGTCCACCATCGACTGGTCCCGCATCCTGGACTCGGTGGAGGATAACTACATCATGCTTAACAAGGATGACAAAGAGGAATGTGGGGACATTTGTCCCGGCACTGCCAAGGGCAAGACCAACTGCCCTGCCACTGTCATCAACGGACAGTTTGTCGAGCGTTGCTGGACGCACAGCCACTGCCAGAAAGGTACGCTGTGGCCTGGGAGTTGGGAGGATAAGATGGCCGGGGAGGATGGGCTGAGGCAGTCGGGGCTCGGGTCTTGGGTCTGAGGGTGGTTGCCTGTCTGACACCAGGAGGTGGCAGGTGCTAGTTGGAGATATCTCTGTGGCCAGTACTTGGGGACTCTGCAGGTCACGTGCTTCCCGTCATAATCACGTCATTGACCTGCAAACCACATGGGATGTGTTCTTTAAGGTGTATTTGGCGTCCGGTGCGGTGGTCTAGCGGCTAGAGTCCTCGCCTTGTGCCCGCTGGGGTCCCTGGTTCTCATCCCGGCAGCCCCCGTTCCCCATCCAGCTCCCTGTTTGTAGCCTTGGGAAAGCATTCAAGAATCGCCCCAAAGCCTTGGGACCCTGCACCCGCGTGGGAGACCTGGAAAGAAGTTCCTGGCTCCTGGCTTCAGATCGGCTCAGTTCTGGCCGTTGCGCTCACCTGGGGAGTGAATCATCGGACGGAGGATCTTCCTCTCTGTCTCTCCTTCTTTCTGTGTATCTGATGTTGCAATAAAAATAAAATAACTCTTATATAAAAAGAGAGATGTATTTGGTTATCACAAAGGAAAGATGATGGAGAGATTGTCTGTCCACTGATTCACTGGCCCACGATAGCCAGGGCTGGGCCAGACCCAAGCCAGGAGCCAACGGTTTTCCATCCGGGTTTCCCATGTGGGTGGCCCTTGGGCCATCCTGTCTTTGCTGCCTTCCTAGGAGCTGGTTTGGAAGAGGAGTGCTCCCAGTAAGAGATGCTGGCTTAGCTTGTTGTGCCCTAACACTGGCTCTAAGGGATACGCTTTATACTCATTTTTATTTGAAAGACAGATTTTACAGAGACAGAAGGAAAGACAGAGAAAGACATAGATTTTTCCATTCGCTGGTTCACTCCCCCCAACATGGCCACCATGGCCAGAGCTGGGCTGGTCCAAAGCTGGAAGCCTAGAGCTTATTCTGAGTCTCCCCTGTGCGTGCAGGGGCCGTCCTCCACTGCTTTCCCAGGCCACAAGCAGGGAGCTGGATGGGAAGTGGGGCCTCCGGGATATGAACCAGCACTCACATGGGATTCCAGTGCGTTCAAGGTGAGGAGTTTTAGCAGCTGGGCCATCGTGCGGGGACAAATAAGAATACCTTTTTAAAACTGTAGGCGGTGCTGGAAACCCTGCTTGATTCTAATCCCTATATTCCTGTCTTTTTTTTTTTTTCTATTCTTATTTCCGATCATTATCTTACACATTAGACATGGTTAGAAATGAACAGAAAACAGAAAATTGAACATTTATGGTCTACCACAATTGTCAGCATCACCACGCGGTTTTGGGGTCCTCATTTCCTAGGAAAAACGCTATTGTTTGGTTTGGATACCTGAGGCAGGGGTTTAGGGCATAGTGAGGGTAGCGTATACACTATGGATACACTGGGCAAAGACGTGATTCCTGCCCCCCTCTGGGCAGCGTGAGACTGCACTCCGTGTGCTCAGAAAGGCAATTAAAAATGCATGAATGATTTATTTCTGGAATTTTCCATTTAATGTATCTGGATTGCTTGTGAACTCTGGGTCCCTGAAACCCTAAATTATGAAACTCTGAGTTAGGGAGGGGATGCCTGCCGTAGTCAGCTCCATCATTCTAGCAGGTGGCAGGCACACAGACACACATAGACGTGGCTGTGTTTCAATAAAGCTTTATTGACAAAAAGCAAGGCGTGGGCCGCTTTGGCGTTAAGGACCCATACCTGCCACCTCTGGTGCCTGGGAGTAACTGCCTCTTCTTCTACCCTTCTTGCTTGGGAGATGGGTGGAAAGGGAAGAATGGGGGAATTTGGGGGTTGAAAAGAATGAGCTGCTTCCTATGGGACTGTGGAAGTTACGCTGCTGGAGAGGGGGTGTTTGGAGAAAGCTGCGGCTCGGTGTGATTCCTTGTGGCCAGGGCTGTGACTTTGCTTCCCGGGGCAGGTGTCTCTGTGGGGAGGGGGGAGGTCGAGCTGTCGCTGGTGTCCGTCCCCTTGTCCCCCTGGCCCAGGATCCGGGGAAGGAGTTCCTGCGTTCCTGGAAGGGGTGGGAAGGTGCTGCTGGCCCGTCCCGCGCTTTCCCGGGAGTTGTGGGAGGAGCCAGCTGACGGATTTATATTTCTTTGCTGGCCTTTGAGGATGAGTGTCCTGGGCTTCGTCGTGCGGCACCGGGAAAATGCAAGCGCGTGCGCTTTTTCCGTGGGAACCCTTCGCATGCACCTGCGTGCGCGTTTGCTGTAGGAACCCTTCGCCCGTCATATTTCCAGAGCCGATTGGAGCTGCGAACGATGACGATATATATATATGGGTGATTTCGAGTTTGAGAGATAGAAGCTGGGGAGAAAGTACGACTTTCCTACCGGGGCCCAGGGCTATGGGAAAGCTGGAGGTGGTGATGGAATCCAGGGAACCCTAGGGGAGGGTCTGTGAAAGTCACCCCAGGCTGGACCCTGGAAGGGGGTGAAGGTAAATGAGGGCCTTTTTAAAAAAAGATTTATTTTCTTTTAAATTTTTATTGGAAAGGCGGATATACAGAGAGGAGTGACAGAGAGGAAGATCCTCCGTCCGATGATTCACTCCCCAAGTGAGCGCAACGGCCGATACTATGCCGATCCGAAGCCAGGAGCCTCTTCTGGGTCTCCCACGCGGGTGCAGGGTCCCAAGGCTTTGGGCCGTCCTCCACTGCTTTCCCAGGCCACAGGCAGGGAGCTGGATGGGAAGTGAGACTGCGAGGATTAGAACCGGCGCCCATATGGGATCCCGGGCGTGCAAGGCGAGGACCTTAACCACTGTGCCACCACGCCGGGCCCGAGGGCCTTTTTTAAAAAAAAATTTTTTTTAAGAAAATATTTTGATGTTGAGTCCAGGCTGATTTTTTTTTTTTTCCCATGCAGGGGAATGGTGTGATTGACACCTGCCAGGGTCCCCAGGTCCTGGGTATCTGACATGCCTCCCAGCTCCCATCAAGCTGGGTGATGGGGAGGGGGTGTCCTCTGGGGGTCCTGTGTGGGTGGGGAAGGAGTGGGGTGAGACCCAGTGGCTGTCTGAATGTCTGCCCCAGGCCCAGGATGACTGAGCCCCGCCCCGTTCCGTTTATGGATTGCGATGGCACAGGCTGCGGTGCCTGGAAGTGGTGTAGGTGGGACTTGAACCTGGGGATTCGGGTTTGGACTCTGACACCTTGAGCAAGTGCATTCCAAGGCTTATTTTGGAAAAATGGTGAAGTGCAGGGACTGTAGAAGAGAGAGAGAGAGAGAGAGAGAGAGAGAGAGAGAGAGAGAGAGAGAGATCCTGTCTCCCGCTGGGCCACTCCCCAAGTAACTGCAACAGTGACTCAAGTCCTTGGCGCCCAGGTAGGGGCCCGGGCGGAGGTTCCTAGGACTCGGCTTGTCCCAGCCGCTGCTGTTGCGGGCACTGGGGGAGTGAATCAGTGGATGACCCATCTCTTCCCGTGTCTGTCTCTGCCTTACGCGTTGACAAGTGTGGAAACTGCGACCCCTGTTGATCCCAGTGCTCTGTAAAGGGCTGGAAGTAGAAAACGGGGTGACCCCTGCTTGAGCCCGTCACTGCCCCCAGGCTGTTGCTTAGCACCCCAAGGAGGGGGGTTGTAAGACCCCCGGGGATCCCCAGGCCTGGCGAATCTCGCTACCCCCTCCAAATGAGCTGTAACGGCTGCCCACCTTCCCCTCACCCCTCCCCGACCCCCCGGATGCTTCTGGAACACTTCACGTGGTGATCATGGAAAGGCCTCCACAGCTGGCATTTCGGCCACCCTCACCCGGGGCAGCGATGAGAACCTTCTACTCAAGAAGCGCGGGTGCAAACACGCAGACGGAGTAGCACTGTCGCCAGCACAGCGGGCAGAGTTCCGTTCCTTCTTTTACCCAAGATCTTTCTGCAGCTCTAGGAGAGAGAAACATCAGGTTGCAAACATGCTTTTTATATTTTTCTTTGAAAGGCAGAATGATGGGCCCCACACAGTAGCCTAGTGGTTAAAGTTCTTGCCTTGCATGCACCAGGATACCATATACTGGTTGGATATCCCAGCAGCTCCGCTTCCCATCCAGCTCCCTGCCTGTGGCCTGGGAAAGCAGTGGAGGACGGCCCAAAGCCTTGGGACCATGCACCCGCGTGGGAGACCCAGAAGAGGCTCCTGGTTTTGGCCCTTGGGGAGTGAACCAGTGGACGGAAGATCTTCCTCTCTGTCTCCTCCTCTCTGTATATCCACCTTTCCAATTAAAATATATACATAAATCTTGTTTTTTAAAAAAGCCAGCTTTTCACCTGGAGGAATGAATTGGGCTCGGTCCTCAGGGAGGTGGTGGGTACAGTGACAGCCATTCCCCCCCACAGGCCCGGTGGCAGAGGGGATCTGTCTTAAGGGAGGTTTTTTCTCATGGTATCACCCGGCTGGCTCAGGACTCCAACATGAACTGCCCGCCACTACCCCCCAAGTCCCTAAGAGCCTTTGACTTACGTCAGTACTGTATATGCACCTGTACCCCCCCAGAAAGGGGGTGACATGAATGCTACAGTGTTGAAGATCTTACAGGGGCCCGGCACGGTGGCCTAATTTTTTGCCTGGAGCGCCAGCATCCCATAGGGACACTGGTTCGAGTCCCGGTGGCTCCACTTCCCATCCAGCTTCCTGCTTGTGGCCAGGGAAAGCAGCAGAAGATGGTCTCAGTGCTTCTTGTCCTGCACCCCTCCGTGGGAGACCCCCTTTTTTTGTGCTCCAGTCTCCCGTCTTGACTCTGGTCCATTTGGGGGAACCGAATCAGCGGCTGGAGGATCTTGATTCCCCAATCTCTTTGTAACGCTGACTTTCCAATAATCTCGTCTGCCCAGTCTCTGTTTAAGTCCGACTTTGGAAGAAGTAAGTGCATCTTTGAAAAAGACCCCAGTTCCTCATTTTTACTCTGACTTGTGGACGTAATTTCTCCTACCTTTCAAATGAAACCTGGAGTG